GGGGGGGACAAAAGGGATGCAATCGTACGTACCATTGGATGGGCAGTTCTGTTATAGATTACCTTAAAAGTTATGTTGTGCACTGGATAAGTAAAAAGGCAAGTAAAAGGTGAAAGATAAGTGGAGCAGTGACTAAGCTTTGGGGTCATAAACACAAAATTTTAATTGATTTTGCTTTCTACGGTGAAGAAAAGAAAGGGTGAAAAGTAAAGGTAGCTAGGTCTCTGATGTAATCAGTCAAGCATGAAGAAATTCTAATGATATGTCCATGTGCAGTTGATTGTTAATTCTTTCTCATGTTATCTTTTCAAGGCCAATGTTTTGACCCTTTTTTTAATTATTATTTTATAAATAACCAACACCATAAAAAGAGGTAGACAAGACAGAAACTAAAGCAAAAGCAACTTGTATTTCAAGCGAGAAGCAGTTTGGCTAATGATTGTCCCTTCCGTTTCACCATCTAACGGCCCCAAAAATAATGAGTCTTGGAACCAGAAATTTTGTGAGTTTTTTCTCTGGGGTTTGCTTTAGTGAAACTATTTTGGGCGTTGTTACGAGAGAGCCGGTGTATTTTTACAACATACAGGTTTCCAATTGGACCTACCAACCGGAGAACTAAAAGGAGTGACCTAAACGTTAAAGAAGTGAGTGAAAATCATGAGAGATCATGAAAAAAAATAGATGATTTCTTTTAATTTTCCTAAGTGGCACATATATTTGATATATATACCTATGAAAAATAGCAGTTTCTTTTTTTATTATATAAGAAAAAATATTGCAACAAAAGGAACTCCATTCAACCGCAGATAAAGTAGAATTCTGGAAAGATCTTTTCATGGCTCACTTAAATGCCTTAAATGTAGAGTGTGCAAGTGCAAAAAGGGATCTCATCTTTACACAAGTCAGCCAGTAACAAACGACACCCTTTTTTCATTTGTGCTTAAAATTCTGTCATCCCTTTGTTAATATCACTGGCTTTCTACCATAAATGAGCTGAGTAAAAGCTGTGGACCATGCACTTCAGGCTTCATACCTCTCATGCCAAGTTTTAATGGAGAAAGAACTATCCACATTTTGTGGCCCTGAAAAAGGAGAATTAAAAAAAGTCACTCTCAAGTATATATCGAAATTTTGTTTCCAAGTGAGTGACCATTTTGTGAAGAGTACGATATATTTTTTTCATATTGCCATGATCATTCCACTTTGCCTATCCATTGGTCCACAAGTTGGAATCCTATAATAGCTTTTAAAAATGAGGCTAAAGTTAGAGACAATTCTTGCTTAAAGTAGCTCAAACACACATTTGAGTCACTTTAGTGCAAATGGACTAGAGTTATTGGATATTATGCGGTCCTGCTATAGCTTAATAATCAAAAAGCTTTGCGTCCAACTTCAACCATTAAATTGGCCACAGGTTACAGCTTCTAATGCCCTGGCCCACACCATTGTGACAGGAGGGGTTGAGCATGAGATATCCTAATGTCATCAACATGTTTATGTGTTCCATATATTTTTCCAAAATTTCAACAACTTATTCAACAATTTCAAAATTAAAAGCATTAGTATTAAAATTGCTTGATATAATATAATCGGTGCCATTTGAAGTTCTTATTCTTGAATAGTTCTAAATTACATGTTCACGTCATATAGAAAAACAACCGTTTTAATACTGCATAAATTAAGGGGGAGACAATTATAACTGCAATAGATATGTTACATGTCCAAAGGAGAATTTGAGGCTTTCACTAATGAGCTTGCGTTGTTGTCTTATTCACGAATTATGAGCTTGTTGTATTGGTGGAAAAATATATATGACACGTGAATTAATGATACGTTGATGGCATTTAAATAAGATCAATAAAGAATTAAAAGATCATTGTTAGTTGGTTAAGATGAGTTAGTTAGAACTCACATATTAGGCACGTGAGTATAAGCTGTAAATAAGTATACAGAACAGCCTGTATTATCAATTGTAAGAAATAGAAAATATTCTCCTCCTTCTCTCTAATGTCCTCTTTCTCTCTCTAAGATCCTCATGTCCTTTGGTGCCATAGCACTCTGCATGTTCTATCCTAGCTACTGATTTTCATTCTAACTGCAAATTCAACATGGTATCAGAGCGGCGATCGTGAGGATGGCATCTCTGATGTGAAATTCCGACGTAGTTCAAAAATTTTCGGCAGATCTGGCGTGAGGTCGATTTGGTGTGAAATTCTGGCAAAATCATCAAAAATTAAGCTTTGAACTGCACAATAATGGCAAGAAATGAAGTGACGATGCTTGACCATAATCATCCATTATATCTCCAAGCAGGAGACACTCCCGGACTAGTTTTAATTCCGATTAAACTCACAGGGCCAGAAAATTATGCCCTATGGAGTAGAGCGATGAAACTAGCACTCCGGGGAAAAAAAAGCTTGGATTTGCAGATGGAACTTGTGTGAGAAACCGGTATAAAGGGGAGCTAGTCGAGTAGTGAAAAAGTGTAATGCGATAGTGTTGTCGTGGATTGGAAGCACGGTTTCTGCTAAATTGATGCCAAGCATCATGTACGCATCTGATGCAAAGAAAGTTTGGAATAATTTCCTTGAAAGGTTTAATCGATCGAATCTAACAAGTATATATCACCTCTGGACAGAAAATGCGACCATGAGGCAAGGTACGGATTCAGTTACTACATACTACACTAAAATGAAAGACTTGTGGGATAGCTAGATGTATTAGCACCTTTATCTTACTGTGACTATGAAGAATCTCGACCCTCCGTCGAACATCAAAAATCACAATGCCTATAACAATTTCTCATGGGATTGAATGAGAGTTATAGTAATGTAAGGAGCAATATATTAGCAAGGAGGCCAGTAGTTATAGTAAATGAAGCTTATGCAATTGTAACTCAGGAAGAAAGCCAGAGGACTTTAGGCATTGTTGAAACAAATAAAGATCCCTTGACGATGTTGGCAGGAAAAGGACAGTTCTTCAAACAAAAGAAAACATGACTGATATGTGAATATTGTGGTTATAAGGGGTACTTAAAGGAGAATTGTTACAAGATCATAGGGTACCCCCAGATTTCAAGAGCAAGAAGAAAACAGGAGAAATTAGTGGAGGCATGAGAGAACATGCTGGTGCAGGACAAAATAGTGATGGTTTCAGGCCTTATGCTAATAATACAGTAGCAGCAGCAGAGAATCAGTTTCAGGGGTATTTTTTCACAGAGGAAGAGTACTCGCAGCTGATGAGCCTATTAAACAAACCTTCACCGAGTGACAACAACACCAAAATGGCAGGTATTGCTTCACTGTTATCCAATTCTTATGCATGTGAATAAATAATAGATACAGGGGCCTCACATCACATCACACTTTGTATAGAACTACCAGAAGAAATGAGAAGTCTAGAGAAACAACAAGATAGTAGAGTACAGGTACCTACAGGGGATAAGTCTAACATTGAGAATGTAGGGAATGCAGTAATACTAGGAAGTCATAAAATCACGAACGTATTACATGTGCCAGATTTCAAGTTCAATTTGCTCTTAGTGTCAAAGTTGACCAAGAAACTTCTATGTTCAGTATGTTGTTTCCCTAATTTCTGTGTCTTTCAGGGTCTTTACAATGGCAAGGTAATGGGTATTGGTAGAGAAAATAATGGGCTCTATATCTTGCAAAGGGAAGAGAAATCTACAATAGGAGAAGCAATACTGAAGGATGCAGATAGTGGAGAATTATGGCATTTGAGGCTTGGGCACCCTTCAATTGGGGCAATGTATAACATACCCTCCATAAGGAATAAAGTAAATGACAACATACAAGAACACTGTTCAGTTTGTCCGATGGCAAAACAAAGTAGACTGAAGTTTCCAAGTAGTGAGAGTAAATCAAATAGTATTTTCCAGTTAGTACATGTTGACCTATGGGGTCCCTATAAGAGGCCTACCTTTGATAGCAAATAATATTTTGTCACTGTTGTTGATGACTATAGTAGGTACACCTGGGTTTGCTTGATACACTCGAAGTGTGAAGTATTTGTTATATTGAAAAACTTTCTAGCGATGATAAAAACTCAGTTTGGTATCAATATTAAAATGTTGAGATCGGATAATGGCACAAAAGTTTTCAATTCTCAATGTACTGAATTGCTTTGTTCTTTGGGTGTTATTCATCAGAGTAGTTATGCATATACACCACATCAGAAATGGTGTAGTTGAAAGAAAAGATAGGCACATACTTCAAGTAGCAAGAGCATTAAAACTTCAGAGTTCAATACCAGTTAAATTTTGGGGAGAATGTGTGAAAACTACTGTATATTTGATAAATAAGCTGCCCACCACAGTACTTCAAGGAAAAACACCTTTTGAATTACTTCATGGGAAGGA